GAACTAACAAAATAAGCAACCTCATAAAGGGAACATAAAGTCAGTGCAGCAAATACCACATTTCATGTTCAATTCTAAACCTTCGAGTTGGATACATGAGAGATAGTGAAATCTATGCCACGTTAATTAAGACTAACAAAAGCTTAAGGCAAATTATTCCTTTCCACGCTTCCAAGTTAAATTTCTTCTTATTTAATGATACAAATGCTTTAAATATACAGGGATTTCTCCGTGGAAATAATATTATTTCAGCAGCAGCCCAGATCATTACTGAATTCTAACTAACGTTAAAAAATCAACAAAGTAAATTGATTCTACGTCTTTACGTGAAGATATAAATTTCAACATAAAAAATCAAAATTTGACCCATATCTATCATCAGAAACATACACGTATATATGTATTGGCAAGTTAGCGATCATCAAATTATATAAAAAGAAATACGGAGTATAAAGTATGAAAATCAACAAGAAATCAGTTTCCACGAGTGTTTAAAAAAGATTATCAAGGCTGTGAGGGAGAGATACCGGAGAAACGACACCGTCAATGATGGCGGACCTGGTGGCGGGGGCAGCGGATGTAGTGGTGGAGTAAGCAAAATCCATAGTCCGCAGCCCCCCAGCTGTCTCCGTGATGGTCGAAGCGCGCTTTTTTCCTTATTTAACTGTTCTTTTCTGCTGTCTTCACGAGATTAGTTGAGGATGGGAAATTGGAAATGACCTATTATTTATAATAGGGAAAACTATCAAATAAGCCCCGCACTATGCCGAAAAAGTCGATTAGGCCCTCGTACTTTACAAACACTCATTTAAGTCCTCGAACTATTAAAAAACGTTCAATTAAGCCCTTTTGGTCGGTAAGTAACCGGTTTCCCGGTTAAACGATGACGACGGCGACGATGCGCTCGAACCTCAGCAACGGCGGCTGCCGGGAAACAGGTTACATTTAACCGGGAAACCGGTTACTTACTGACCGAAAGGGCTTAATTGAACGTTTTTTAATAATTCGAGGACTTAATTGAGTGTTTGTAAAGTACGAGGGCCTAATTGACTTTTTCGATATAGTACGAGGGCTTATTTGATAGTTTTCCCTTTATAATACGTATTACCCCCGTATGTTATTGTGCCTATGTTTTTAGGGGGAGACCATTTTGTACACGTTTATACATTTGTAGACCATTTTTTTTTGTTGTGAACTAGCATGATTTGTCTGTAGAGCCGTTCACAACAAAAAAAAATGGTCTGTCAAAGACAAGTGTATAAGAACGTGTACAAATAGAGTTTCTCATGTTTTTAGTGGGCTGTGGTCAACTTCGATAGAGGGTTGGTTTGCAACCACTTTTAAAAAAGCACTTCTCAGCTTTTGACTTTATAAAAGCACTTCTTTTACCAAACACTACAACTTTTATTTTTCTCGGCTTTCGTGTCAAAAGTGCTTTTACTTTTTCTATTACACAAAAAGTACTTATTTTACCAAACACTATCAACTTTTACTTTTCAAAATCACTTTTTTCTCGAGTAAATGGTCAGTTTAGTCCTCGAAGTTGCAAAAAAGACGTCAAATAAGTCCTTATATAGAAGATTCTGTTCGGACGTGCCATTTGAGGTGGCTCCCGATGGAATTTTGTGATAATTTTTTTTGAGCATCTTATTCATTAAATCTAGTTCACTCGTACCAAATTTCACCTAAAAATTCAATCGGGAAGACATTCAAATGAATTCTTGAAGATAACAGCGCTTTTAACAGCACAGTTATCTTCAAGAATTCATTTGAATGTCTTCCCGATTGAATTTTTATCTGAAATTTGGTATGAGTAAACTAGACTTAATGAATAAGATGCTCAAAAAATTTCATCAAAAAATTTCACCGGGAGCCACCTCAAATGGCACGTCCGGACAGAAATTTCTATATAAGGACTTATTTGACCCCTTTTTTGCAACTTCGGGGACCAAACTGACCCTTATCCCCTTTTTTCTCAAACACTATCAACTTTTATTTAATCACTTCTCTCCATTTCATTAAAAAAAGCACTTTTTTAAAGCAGAAGTTGTTGCAAACAGACCCAGAGTCCTCCTCGGTCTACTTAGATAGTTAGATGTTTTTACTTAGTACTCCGTAATTTTTTTTTGACTTAGGGTGGTTTGAAAACATGTTTTCACTCCAAATCAGTTTTTTTCCACTCCAAATCAATATACATCACTCCAAATCAGAACAGAGCAGACTATATGAAACACATCACATCAGATTTAAATAAATAAGATCATAACAACTTTGACGATTGTAAAATATAAATACATTATACATTTACCAGATCGGACAAGCTCAGACTAGACCAGTTCAGATCAGACCAGATATGAACACATTGGAACAGACATGGTCAGACCAACCCAGAAGAATTTAAATCCAATTAAAAACATCCCTACACTTTCTATAAACATGCTTGTGTACATATATAATATGTATGAAAATGAACAAAAAGAACAATTATCTTTGTGCATAGATAATTTTCTTACAAATTATTTGTGTACATAGACAATTTTGTATTAATTGTCTACGTACATAGAAGAGTGTACAAAAAATGTAAAAAGATAAATTTTATATCATTATACGTTTTCAAATTTGTTTTCGTGTAAAAAAACATTTGAACGAAGAAGAAATTATCCACGCGGCGCCTCTCCTGGGGTATTTGTGCAAAGCATGGACGCCGCATCCAAGAGTACAATCGTCGTTCAGCCTCCAGATCCATATAAAGCAATAAGAGCACTGGCGATACATCCAAGCAGGTAGCAGATTTCATGTGTTTTTCTAGGTTGTGGAGATTCTTAGTAGGGGTATCACTCAACTTGACTTTTCTTCTTTTCTGGTTGTGTTTGCTCTGTGTTGTGGCAGCTCTTTCCGAGCACTGGCGCTCTGGATTATTTTGTCTCCCTCAATGTGTGGAGTTGTTTTGGTGTTCCGATGGGCTTTGTCTGGTCAGGGATTTCTGGCTGCTTTCTTTTGGGTTGCGTAGATAATGGTAGATCTCGTCTTCCTCCAACCACATCCATGCCAGGAAGAGTATTGTGGAAAAGCTTTATTTCATTTTTTTCTTTAATGGTACTTATTTTTATTTTACTTCGAGTAGGTTTCGTAAAGATATTCGGATTTCTGGAGTACTTTTGATAGGCAGTGTTTCAGATCCGGTTGTTTTTTGATTAAATTTGCTCGTGTCGTGTCTAGCGAATCATGTTGTTTTGTATGAGGTAGCTGATATTATGTCTATTCATAGGGCTTACAATTGACTTTGTCATAATTGTCTGAAGATTGTCTTGTATGCTTTCTCGATATTAATATAAAATCCCGCTCTTTTATATTTAAAAATGGTGTTTCGTGTACACACTCATACATTTGTGTGCACGCTTTATTTGTCTCGGTGACATCCCATTTGTATCTTTTTCCAAAATGGTTATATGTTGATGGAGTATATGACCCAGGGACCCCCAGCCCACAGACTCCTACTTCTCCTACACAGGCCCATCAAGCCCACTGTGCACACAAAGTCCTAATGTAGCGGCCCAAGTATGAAGAAGACCCCGGTGCACATATAGGTGCCTTCGGCCATATAGCTGAGGGCTCCAACTTCCACAGGGTAGCCAGATTTGAGCATACAAAGCTAATAAGAAGAAATAGAAGCATGGGGTACGGCAATGATGATTGCAACATAAAAGGACCATGGCAACTACGGCGTGAAAGGACGACGACTGCGACATGAATGGGTGACGACAACTGCGACATGAATGGACGACGGCGAATGCGGCTAATCCCTTGCCCCAGACCCCAGCCACCACACCTCCTCTTGCAACTCACCCAGCGCCGTCACAGCCTGACAGTCTAGTCAACCATATGCGCCACCGTCGGATATGATGGTTACAGACGCGGCTGTTTGTATCCCCGGAATTGAACATAAAAGGCAGAAATGACGAGGAAGACGGTAAGGTGAATGATGAGAGAGACAACTGTTGACGACAGTTGATGACGATGTTTTGATCGAAGGATAAGGAGACAGAGTCGATGGCAAATGAGATATAGAACTGTGAGAGACGTGTTTGATGGAGATGAAGTAATGCGCTTAAGGGCATTTCAATCCATTTTTGCCCATTTTAAAACATACTCTTATTTTGTTCACAAGAATCCTTGAACTATTATTTGTGTCATCATCTTTATACCCCTCCGTTTCTTAAAACTTTGTCAAGTTTGATCAAAACGAGGATTAATAAAGTAAGAACGATGTTGAAATTTGTGCAAAGGAGAGAGAATTAACTAGAAGCGCAATTTTTTATTTAAAAGAGAAAGTGACAAAATTTGTAAGACAACTAAAGAACAAAGTTTTAAGGGTTAGAAGGAATATTATTTTAGTTATTATTTATAAAATAAAGAAAAGTTGCACACTAGCTACATGGCATGCATGAACCATGAATAGTTTATGAGTCCTATAAACTATTGATACACCCTTCTGAGGTACACTATAGTTTTTTTTTGGAACTTTCTATTGATACACCCTTTTGAGGTACACGATTTGTATACTCACATTTGTTGTGGGTTTACGAAAGCAATTCATACGGAGTAATAAATAATGCAATTACTAAGATAGTCTATAAATGGTGTACCGTGTACGCCAAAAGAGTGTAATTACTAAGATAGTCTACAAATATGCATCAACAACGATTCTTTTTTATGAGAAAAGAGGCAAATAAGTTCCCGAACTATTTACGATTTTGCAATCAGGTCCATAAACTGAAAGACTTGTAGATACACTATCAATTAAATGAAACTTAAATAATTTGAATCTTTTCACCCATTGATTCCAGTAATTTCTCACCTCCCATTAGCACCGACAAGTAGCAAAGGATCTGATTGCTTAATTTTCTCGTATTTGCAAGTCTTTCCGTTTAGGAATTTGATTACAAATCACAAATAGTTCCAGAATTTATCTACCTTTTTCTCATGATATGATATGATGCTTTTCTTTCCCGCCATAAAACATTGCCCTTCTCAGTTGAGGCGCCATTTGCTAAATACTTCGTATCTACGGAGTATTATCTTCGTAAGGTCTACGATCCTACACAGTAGAGAGCTAAAAAGGTTGAATCTTGTGTAAAGAATGGCATCTTCATCCGGAAAAACTATTATGGATCTATTGAAGCAACCATCAGCGAAGCGCCTTAAACGGGTCTCCTCACCACCGCCATCTCCCGCCGTTGTCCCCGTCAGTAGCTTCTCCTCTTCTGCTACGCCGTCCCCAAAGGAGCCCCAAGCCGGAGACAACGGCGTCGTCCAGCAAACAGAAACACTCACGCCTGCACAGAATTTTAGAATGGAGTTCAACAAATCCCTAGCCAAGGCTAAATTCAATCTCAAACTCTGTGCTGAGAAAGTCTCTTGTTCAATATCTGAAGGTCATCCTACACGACTAGTATGATCTTCCAATGTATGACCATATGCTTATAGAGAAAACCTGCGTTCAGTGTTCATGAATTGATCCGAAGCTTATATGATGATTATTTACTCTTGCGTTGTGATTGTTCATCTTTGAGGCAAAGAAGATGAGGTGCTCAGCACTTTTTTAACAAAAAAAAGTGAAATAGCTTAAAAACAGCCAATGGTCTTTTAATAAAATAAAATGAATACTTAAAAAATGAAATAAAATAAAATTCAACCGCCTCACTAGCCACCTGTTTTGCTTTGTACACTATTTCATTTCTAGCCCCCCCCCCCTCCCCCCCCCAAAAAAAAAACCTTTTAAAATTTCAACTTTACAGTTCACATCTGGACCAATTGTCCACACGTTTAATTTGCATACTTATTGCCATAGTTTGCGGTACTAAAGAGAAAAGTTGGAAAAATCCCACTGAGGTAACTTTTGATTGAATTTGAAAACAATTCTATTCAATCGAAACTTTCAATGTAATTCTAAAGCTGTCATTTTTTGTCTTGTCGCAAATAAGATTTACTCCTTGAAGGCTTGAAGCTCTTTTCCACATTACTCACTTCATGTTAGCATTACTCACCACCAATTTATGTACTCATTTATTATTTTAAATGGTGATGGAATTCAAGGAAGAAAATTGTGTGACAGGTGAGGGCTCTCAGTATGTGAAGTTGAAGGAATTGTTGGTGGAGGGGTCATGGCTGCAAGCATTGCCAGAGGAGTTTGAGAAACCATATGCTAAAAACTTGTGTAAGTTTGTGGAGAGTGAAATTCGCAATAGTAGTGTGCCGGTTTATCCTCCTCAGCACTTGATTTTCAATGCTCTTAACACTACCTCTATTGACAAGGTTAAAGCTGTCATCATTGGACAGGTATAAAATGTATAATTCTGTGTTTCTTAATGTAAAAAGATCTTTTCTAATAAACTGAAAACTACAAGAGACTGCATTTGGTTTTCCACTTTTAAGTGAAAAGGGTATTTATAAACAAAAATATCTCCAACAGTTGGTGCCGCTTCAGATTTTGTGACAGACACCATCTCATGAAAGTAAATGATTATATTTTTATATACCATCCAGTTCATTCAGCCTCTCTTTCATTCAGCCTCTCTGTTCTGAACTTCTGATAGTTTTTGCTGAGTTGATCGATTTGTAAATATGTTTACAATTTTTTCTACTGGAAACTGCAATGCCAGGATCCATATCATGGGCCTGGTCAAGCAATGGGCCTCTCTTTCTCAGTTCCCGAGGGCGTAAAAGTTCCTTCAAGCCTGGTTAATATTTATAAGGAGCTCAATAAAGACTTGGGTTGTTCAATCCCTTCTCATGGAAATTTGGAGAAGTGGGCAATACAGGTAAACTCAAGTCACGACTTTCTTAGGCATTTTTCATCTCATTGTTTTGGTTGGCTCTGAAATCGTGCCATTTTACGTGCATGACTTTTGAATGACACTTTGGTCTCATTTTTTCTATAACTTTACGTCAAATGAATTCAAGCTTACATTTTCATCTGAAATACTTGAATTGAGTTACCTCTTACTAATTTGCAGGGTGTTCTGCTTCTCAATGCTGTTCTTACTGGTAAAGTTTTTTATTATTGTTCTCGCACTGAAACCCTCTCTGGGCTATTTTTCCATGTCCTTATCTGGCACATAAAACAGTTGATGAAGTTCAGAATGCTAAAGGATGACAATTCATTTACTAAAGAATGTCATTATGTATTAAACACAGTACTCCCTTCAACCAGAAAGCATCCTATTGTGATTGCATGCACAGAGCACATGATTTAAATCAAACTAGACCAGTCTAGTCCGATTTAATTGTCATTGAACTTCAGTGAGGAATATAAAAGTGAATCCTTCTGTTTCAGTACTCCCTTCGTTCTGAAGTAACCTTCCATTTAGAAAATACAGTTTTAGTTTAAGCCATTTAAGACCATGATCTATAAGATTCGAATAAGACTCAAATAAGTAACTTGGTCCGACTTTTGATCACTTGCCATTCAGGACTGTTCTGCTCCAATGAGCAGCCATTTCGCAAAGCATGATAAATCATATAGACCTCGAACTACCCCTTCTCTGAGGTCAAACTTTTAGGATGAAACTTTGTTTAATATTTGTCCATTTAGAAACCAATATAATAAAACATAGTAAAGTGTAAAAGATGTCCTTTCATTTTCTAACTTTTGCTTTATTTGATTCCTAAAGCTAAATATGTTATTCCAAGTTCCAACTAATAAGCTTATACAGGCAAAGGATAAGATTACTAAAGGCTAAAGCAATAATAGGAAATAGATCTAGACTAATAACTAGTTTAATTAAAACAAGGAAAGTAATGAATTAACTAAAATCAATTCAATCCTGCCCATCTGACTGCTCTTCAACACTGGTGAGCACTGACTGAGAAGCGGATCCTAATAGTGTGATTGTTCCAATCTTTGATGAATCAAATCAACAGTCTACTGGTCATGTGTTTGTGTATCACTTGTTCTGTTCTTCTCATTGGCCTATATTCTTGACATTATCAGTAAGGCATCATCAAGCGAATTCCCATTCAAACAAAGGTTGGGAGCAATTTACTGATGCAGTAATAAGAGCAATTTCTCAGAAGAAAAAAGGAGTTGTCTTCCTTCTTTGGGGAAACTATGCCCAAGCAAAAGGCAGGTATATATCATGCGACAAGCTACAGTTGGATCAAGTTATAACTTTATTAATCAAGGCCTCAAGGGTGTCTCTGAATGTGCCTCTTTTTTTCGTTTACTGACGTGAAATATATGATGGCGAACTACTAGTAAAGCTATTATGCGAAGCTATTTGCTACATGAAATACTTTTGTCTTAGGATGAAAATTTCTTTGAACTAAAGAAACTAAAACCTGACATTCCATCAGCTCTGGTAAACTCTTGCAAGTGTCTGCTTTGAACGAAATTTACATAATTGATCTGTCTAGGTTTATATGTTTCAAACAAAGCTTATATGATTGAAATATTTAGGTTGGTTTGATGCCAGAGCACTGCTTTCTCCTTGTTAAACTTCATGGTCTAGAATAAACTAATTACTCTGATACATCATTGGAATCAAGAATTATTACTCGTAATAATATAGATTCTCGTACAGGCTAATTGATGAAACCAAGCATCATGTGCTGAAATCGGCACATCCTTCTGGTTTGTCAGCAAACAGAGGCTTCTTTGGATGCAGGTCTGTCAAACTACAACAAATTTATGTTCGCTAAGCGTCTTCTGCATTTACTGGTTTATACTCTGTATCCTTCTGTTTTGCTTGTCCTGCTTACTTATATTGTTTATCGTTCCCCATGCTAAAAGGAATATGAAGAAGTGCACTAGTTTCTATCCTCACTCTCTTGTTTTGCATTAATTTCCTGCGAAAAAGTTCGCACAAAGGCAGACAATGAATTGGCTGTTCTTGGGTATCATGGATGCATAACTTCACATAATTTTTTAGAAGTGGTATTTGAATACTTTTGGTTTATACGAAGTATATTATTTTGTATATTTTTGTAGTACACTCCCTTACACAATCACAGACAAATATTATACTACATGTAAAAAAACTGTGATTTGCTAATTTTTAGAATGTGTAGTATTTTAATTTTCATTGTCTTTGGAAGTGATAGTTACTAAGTAATAAGTATGCACAAAAACTATCCTCTTCTGGCTAACATAAGGCCAAAATTATGTACGGAGTATGATTTTTGGGAGAAAAAGAAAGAAAGAAAAATGGACCCCCCTGCACAAAGGTATTGTTAATATGCTTAATTTTATCAATCGTTTTACTGCATCCTTGTATTAAATTTTGATATCTTCAGCATCTACTTTTCTTCACGTTCCATTTTCTGTTTGAAAATTTCTTCTATATTTGCGTAGGCATTTTTCGCAGACAAACAAGCTTATGGAGGATATGGGGCAATCTCCTATAGATTGGCAACTATAATGTAGAATGCCATGTCATTTTTTTTGGAAAGTTGGAGCACTTGTAAGTTGGGATTCATCTATTATCATGTACTTGAAGAATTTCTGTTCTAGGCAAATTTTGTAGGTTGGATGTCCATTTTTCTTTAGAATTTAAATTTTCCAAGGTTTTTTTTTTTTTTTAGGAATTCCAATTTCCAATTCCCGCACCCATTCCTCTGTATTATACACCATTTTATAAGTCACACTTCTTTTTTAGTTAATTACACAATTATGTCCACAACACCCATTTTATAAGTCACACTTCTTTTTTAGTTAATTACACAATTATGTCCACAACACCCATTAACATTCTACCCTTTCCAAAATTTGTCCTTTCTCGACTTGACATGTGTATAAAGGGCCTTTTGTCAAATCTATAGCATTCCCTTGAGCTGCACATGAACCATTCATTGCACGTAATTGATTCAAATTTGTAATAACAGACAGTCTTTGTACATATTGACAGGGAGGCCATTTTTCGAAATGAGCAGTTTTGCAGGATGGATGTGTGTGTGGCTAGGCTGCGTTGTTTTTCGTTTGACTCTCTTACCTATGATGATTTAAAAAAAGTACACATTCCAGTATCCCACCTCTCTCCCAGACATGGCACTTCACTGCCTCCTACTAGATTGGCCACCTTTCTGCCCCTCAAGTAAACTTATGGCATTTCTGCCCCTCAAGTAAACTTATGGCATTTCTGCCCCTCGATTCTCATCAAGTGAGAAAAAGAAATCACCATGTTTAATACTATCCTCCGTTCAGTTTGATTTCATCAACTAAATTTTCTAGTAAACTCAAACTTATTTAACTGCAATTGAAATGACTAATAGATGTGTAAGGAAAATAGTGTGCGGTTAGGATGTTTTCAACTAGACTGATTTCAAACTCTGTCCACACTTCATCAGACTAGACCAAAGACTTAAACAATAATTTAATATATACATAAAAATAATAAATGTACTTGTTGAGGTATATTACCCCGGTCCGTTACTGTTCAGGAGCCCAAGGCATCGCCCCAGCTTGGAGCCCGAATGACAATGTCCATTTCAGCCTATTAGGCATGTTTCGGCCCTTTGGGCCCATTTTGGGCTTACTTGGCCCATTAGGTTAGGTTTCCCCCTTTCCCTTACCCCTATAAATATGGGGCTTTCCCACATGTTAGGGATCCTTTTCTTCTTCCTCCTTCTCACTAGAATAGCTTAGAACTCCATTAATGGGAGCTTCAATACTTGTACTATGTAACGGTGAGGAGAGACTAATGAGAATGAGAGGGCTTGGACATTAGCCTAAAAAGTCCCGTGGTTTTCTCCCTTTCGGGTTTCCACGTAAAAAATGAGCTTGTTCATACACATTTATACATATATTTACTATATCGTGTTGGATTAAACTCAACACTGGCGCCGTCTGTGGGAATCAGTTCAAAAAGATTAATGTGTTCTTGATCTGGAAGAAAAACGGAGAAAGAAAATGCTAGCCATGGCCATCGAACTGATCGAAGCATCACAGGGAAGAAGCAGGACCTTGGCATGACAGCCCATGCAATCACTTTTGGTTAAGCTAAGTTAAAAAAACAAAGTAAAATAAAATAAAAAGGGGAAAGGTAGATCCCAAGACTCTGTTAGGCGGACGAACACAAGTAAACAGAGATCAGATTCAGCTACTCTACTGTTTCACATCTTTCCTTTGAGCTTGCAACTCATCGGTCAATGACGAAGGACGAAACGGGAAGAAAGGACCAGCTGCTATATCCCACCATCAGTTCCTACCACAGAGCAGCCCGCACGTCTTCAAAGTTCAAGCTTGGTCGTGTCCTCGCCGCCCGTCACTGCATAATCACCGCTCATTTTCCCTACCAGAGTACCCAGCACGTTGAGAATGGAACACTTAAGGACTAAGCCAGGCAAAGACGCCGGGATCAGTTCGGACTGGCAATGTGCGACCACAGAACTGGTTCAGCTCAGCCCCAGAAGAACTCCCCCGACGTCCGTCCCTCACTACATCGTGGGGAGCCCTAGCCTTAGCCGGACACCTCATCGCTCGCCGCTCGTCTCTACACTGACGGCCGCACGGCATTCCGGTGATTCCGCCCAGTCCTAGCCGTCCCGTAAATACTACAGTTGGATACGGCCGCCCGGTCCCGAGATGGTTTAAAGTTGGGACATATTTGAGTGACCATGAACGGCGGGCATTGGCTTGGAAAAGCTCTGAATAAGTGAGGCCGAATGTCCCAGCCAACCCTACAAATCGGATTGGAGGGTTAACGGCACATAGAGTATACCGCTCGGCCTCCGGACAGCTTCAGAACGATAGGAGGGTCGATCGTCCCTTCAAACGCCGGAGCAATTTCTTCGCCGCTCGGCCTATGACTGTTTGTCGCTTGGCTTTGGATGCGGACAAGAGTTCTTGCGCATGTGGACGTGCGTCTCCTCCCTTGCCAGCCTGCTGCTATAAGATGAAGGCCAATAGAAAATTGGGTTTGAGCTAATGGGCCGAGTGTTGCCCTGCTCCAAACACATTCCATGGTGGGCCAGACTCCAACAATACACCATTGGTTCAAGGAGCTAAGTACACATAGCTCTCTCATTTATTTTAAAATATTGCTATTATTTTTATATCACTATTATTTAAAAGGGAGTAATTTTCCCGAATTAAATAATGCCGAGCAAAGCTCGGGGATGAGCTTCCACCGGGTTTTTGATTTAATAATTAGGAGATGAGCCGGGTCGAGGGTCATCGTACCCCAATGTGGACGCTCATATCCGGAAGAACTAGGTGATGGGCCGGGCCGAAGGTCATCGCACTCCGAGGCCGACCGTCATGCCCGGAAGAGCCCCAAGCCGACCTACAAAAAAAAAAGTGTGCACATATACATTTTGTCTGGCCATTTGGCCGCGTTACTATGTTCATTGTGCAGATTAAGATCATAGTCAGATAAGAGATGATGCTCAAAATGAACCTTGGTGCCAAGGGCTTGGGGACGAGCATCCTCCACCCGGAGGCCGAGGGTCTAAAGAGAACCATCAAGAGCCAAGGGCCGTGGACGAGCATCTTTCACCCCGGATGCCGAGGGCCCGAAGACGATCATCTATCGTCCAGTGGCCTAGGCCCGGGGACGAGCATCTTCCACCCGGAGGCCGAGGAACTAAAGAAGACCATCAAGAGCCAAGGGCCGTGGACGAGCATCTTTCACCCCGGATGCCGAGGGCCCGAGGACGATCATCTATCGTCCAGTGGCCTAGGCCCGGGGACGAGCATCCTTCACCCGGAAGCCGAGGGCCCGAAGACGATCATCTATCGTCCAGTGGCCTAGGCCCGGGGACGAGCATCCTTCACCCGGAAGCCGAGGGCCCGAGGACGATCATCTATCGTCCAGTGGCCTGGGCCCGAGGACGATCATCTATCGTCCAGTGGCCTATGCCCGGGGACGATCATCTTTCACCCCGGATACCGAGGGCCCGAAGACGATCATCTATCGTCCAGTGGCCTAGGCCCGGGGACGAGCATCTTCCACCCGGAGGCCGAGGATCTAAAGAAGACCATCAAGAGCCAAGGGCCATGGACGAACATCTTTCACCCCGGATACCGAGGGCCCGAAGACGATCATCTATCGTCCAGTGGCCTAGGCCCGGGGACGAGCATCCATCACCCGGAGGCCAAAGCCCGGGGACGAACATCCATCACCTGGAGGCCAAAGCCCGGGGACGAACATCCATCACCCGGAGGCCAAAGACTGGGGACGAGCATCCCCACCCCGGAGGCCAAGGGCATTGAGGCGCGCAACACATCCTGAGACCGAGCATGCCCAGGCTAAGCATGTTGAGGTAGAAATGTCCCGAGGAGACCCAACCTAGCAACTGGAGGTCGAATGTCTCTAGGAATAGGCCGAGGATTGTCGCTGTATGGCGACTCCGAGGTCTGCTACCGGGTCGTGCATCAAAAGCAAAGACACATCTAGGCCGAGTTTCTAGGGATGAACGTCCAAAGGAAGTTGGGTCAGGTTTCTAGGGACTAATCTTCCTAAGCATGTCGGGCCGAGCATCCAGAAGGAAAATTCCAGAGCCCCAACAACGAGAGATCGAGCGGGCTGACCGTCAAGGGGCCGAACGTCCAAGGAAGCCCAGCCTAGCATCTGGAGGTCGAACATCTCTAGGAATAGGCCGAGGATTGTCGCTGTATGACGACTCTGAGGTCTGCTACCGGGTCGTGCATCAAGAGCAAGGACACATCTAGGCCGAGTTCCTAAGGGTCGAACGTCCAAAGGAAGTCGGGTCGGGCATCCGTGGGCCGAACGCCCCAATCCCTCGCACCCAGCCCAAGGCATTGAATTAAGCCTTTGCTCCGAAAGCCGAGGTCATGTGCAAAGAAGGCAGAGGAAGAGCGTAGGCAAGAGTATACTTTCTCGAGCAGATTCGCACGCTCACTACTCAAGAAACTGGGGGACTTGTGTTGAGGTATATTACCCCGGTTCCGTTACTGTTCAGGAGCCCAAGGCATCGCCCCAGCTTGGAGCCCGAATGACAATGTCCATTTCAGCCTATTAGGCATGTTTCGGCCCTTTGGGCCCATTTTGGGCTTACTTGGCCCATTAGGTTAGGTTTCCCCCTTTCCCTTACCCCTATAAATATGGGGCTTTCCCACATGTTAGGGATCCTTTTCTTCTTCCTCCTTCTCACTAGAATAGCTTAGAACTCCATTAATGGGAGCTTCAATACTTGTACTATGTAACGGTGAGGAGAGACTAATGAGAATGAGAGGGCTTGGACATTAGCCTAAAAAGTCCCGTGGTTTTCTCCCTTTCGGGTTTCCACGTAAAAAATGAGCTTGTTCATACACATTTATACATATATTTACTATATCGTGTTGGATTAAACTCAACAGTACTCCGTATTAACTATATCTGTTCATATCAAATCATAAGATTTCAGTCCAAGTGAAAATATTCTAAATTTTATACAAACTATATATCTAATTTGATGGCAAAGTCACCAACCGAGGGAATAGAGCATACATTTAGGAGAAAACGTGGTGTTCATGTTGTACAATGCATTTTAGCGTTTGAAGTATTTACTTTGTAACAAAACGTTTGTTTTTTAAATAAGAAAAAATACTCCCTTGTACTGTTAAACAGTATTCCTTTTTACTGCCAAAGGATTTTTTTGCAAGTATACGAGTATTTTTATTTTCATCTAAGAAGCACTTGTTTCACGGAAAATGTCATCTCGAACATAATCTAAACCGTCTTGGGTGTACACGCCAAAAGTAGTGCATATTTTTTTTTTGGGATATCAAAGTGGCTGAACAAGAACAAATGGAATAATTTCATAAATTTAACAAATCATGTCCTGTTATGCACATTTCAGTAAAATTTACTCTCCCAAACAGACTCCATGCCTGCTTTAATTAGTTACATGCACTACGCATACATGTGATGATGTGCATTTAGTGGAAAATGAGTAACAATAGAAGAAAAGAAATTAAAGAAAGAAAAAAGAATCATCTCTCAAACAAGCCTTTAACGTAAACCATGCCTTTCTCAGACAAACCCAGTTCCTTCCTTATTTGCTCAACCAGTACATCATCTCCCTCAACAATTAGCTCAGACAGTGTTTCATCATCATCATCAACCGTCATTCTCACCTTCATCTCCTCTTTCCTCGTTGCTCGAGTCCAGTAGTATACCCCCCTGTTTGTTTAACCGGTTCTGAATCAGTCACAATTAAAGGATATATAGTACTAGTATATATTGATCCAAAAAGGTGGAATCTCCCACCCGGAGCCCCCACGCCCCGACCTGATAGGGCAGATGAGAGGATGTAAATCATGGTGACTCAGTCAGCGGAGTAGCAGTAGGCCATATACCTGTGCGCGTCACAGGCCCAAGTAGTGCCCAACCATAGAGGTTTTGTGACCTCCACACGGTCGCTGCGAGATTCGAACTTTGGTCCATTGATCCAAATTTCCCACCACTCTACCAACTGAGATACCCGTGCCGGTATATATATATATATATATATATATATATATATATATAGAGAGAGAGAGAGAGAGAGAGAGAGAGAGTAATCTTCCGGTCAGGAATTTCCTGACTGGAGCGCCGTCCGGCCTCCTCCTTTTGGGGGCCTTCCCGGTGGTATTTTTTGCTTAAATTTTTTGTGTATGTTCCTCATCAAGTCTAGTTCATCCATACCAAATTTCAGAAAAAATTCAATCGGGAAGATCGTCAAATGATTTTTGCAAGTTAACTGGTCCGGAATATGTATTTTCCGGACCAGTTAACTTGCAAAAATTGTTTTCCGGACCAGTTAAATTGCAAAAATCGTTTCACAATCTTCCCGATTGAATTTTTTTCTAAAATTTGGTATGGATGAACTAGACTTGATGAGTAACATACACAAAAAATTTGAGCAAAAAACATCACCGGGAAGACCCCCAAATGGAGGAGGCCGGACGGGGTTCCTGTACGGAAATTCCGGACAGGAATATTTGTGATATATATATATATATATATATATATATATATATATATATATATATATATATATATATATATATATATATATATATATATATATATATATATATATTGTGTGCACGGAGTATCATATCAACCAAAGGTTTGAGTTTGATTGGGGGAAGTTATAATATAAAAAGGGAAATGAACAGACTTACGCTAATGGACCGAGAGAAGTGAGCCAAAACCAATTATTTCCTACGCTGGGAAGGGCTATGGTGAGAACCAGGGAAACACTGGCTAAGCTTATGCACGTGCAGAATGTCAGCAGTGCCGTTTGTCCCCGACTTGGACTCATCATTCCCTCAAACCTTATTTCACCAAAATTACAATAGTTATATTCCCTTTACACTTAACAGAAAACAGTAAAACAATTGGAATAAGGTTGCCATAAACTTCTCTAAATGCACTGAAACTTCTAAGGTCCCCCAATATGTGATTGCTTAGAGCAATTCCAATGCAAGGGTGTGGTCTCTTACACACATGTGTGTGCACGGGTCCCATTTTTATCTCACAATTTTTATGTGTAGGATCCACGTATTTCCTAATTTATTTTCATTTTCATTTTCATTTTTTATATCACTTTTAACTCACTTTTCATCAACTTTTCCTACTCGAATCCCGTGTAAGGTCCATATATGGACCTTGTCATAGACCTTGGTCCATTTTTACCTCTATCTCTCTCTCCTCTTTTTCATTTTTTACTACACACCATTTCATCCAAATATTTATTCTATATCTACCTATCTCCTATGCCACATCAGCTGCAATGCACCCTCCTATTGGAGATGTTCTTAATGTGTCGGACTAAAAATGGTCATAAACTAGTGTAGGGCACCCATGTCAGTTTAGTGGGAGGGTAAAAACAAAGGTGAAAGTCAAAACAAAAGTGAAGCTGATAAGAATGAAAACATAACTATTTCTCTTTTAGAAAGTATATCCATATGTGTTCCTTAGATCGAACTTCTTAATTAACTGCATTTGGTCAAACTTTAATCATACAAAACATTCAAAGGATTGTTTTGACACAATGTTTGAGTTGGATCATTTATATGAGATTAAGAGTGTTGATTGCTTTCACATATAACGAATGGATAAGACGTTATTTTCAAAGTGTGTTTATAAAGTTAGAGAACTGAAACTTGAATTGTTTTCTTTTGAATTGAAATTTGTTGGTTTGATTTAATCTGGTCTGGTCTGAACTAGTTTGGTCTGATCTCTGTGTATTTTATAACTATGCTAAGTCTGGTCTGGTCAAAAAAAGAGAGATATTTCTGCAAAAAAAAGTTTGCAATTCCCTTTCCTACTCAAAACAAAAAGAAGGATAGGATAGAGCAATTGGGTGGTGGTGGTGGCCGTGGGTAAGCATACACTTACGTGATGGTCTCGCCTCTGTTCAACACCACAAAATTGTTGCGAGTGAAGAACGCCTGAATCTCCCCGGCCACTCTCTTCGCGGCCTTCTTCCCCTCCTCCCCTGTCACGAACGTCTTCTTCACAATCTGCCACACGGATCATCAGCTAATCAATACACCCCAGCCTTAAAATCCACTACTTTCCCAATTCATTCTCACCTTGGATTTAACCGATCGTTTAATGAGAGACCAGACACCCGGAACAGAGATGACAAAGAGGCCCAACGAGGTGTAGTAACTGGCCAAGGAGTACCCGCCGCCTTCCTCCGCCGCCGCCGCCGCGAGCAGGAAGAAATAGCAGGGGCCGTCATTCTGCAGCTGGGGAAGGTCAACAATATGAGGAGGTGCGGCATTGATGAGGTGCTCAAGGGATGATAGACTGACTACTCTAATCAGGCTCTTCTTGTGGGTTCTTCTCGTTGTCGCCAGATGAGATGCAGGAACTCGGCCTAGCGGCGGCCATGGGTGATGGTGGGTAGTATCAGAAGCGTGATATGGAGGAGGAGAGAGCATCAACAGCTTTGTTGCCATCATCATTATCATGGTTTATTACTCCGTATAACAAAGGGCGAAAGAAGATACTCATACGGCAACCATGGTGGAGCTGCCTGCCTATTCTTGTCCATCAAAACATTTATTACTAGTAACACTTAAAATTTTCAATTCTAATGCGCAGTATATTTAAATACTCCTGCATTAAGGAAAGAAATTTGACTTCACACAAAATAAGGAAAGAAATTTGACTTTACTGTAGAGTACACTGTTGAGGCATTGTTTGACACTGTTTGGCACTGTTGAGACACTGTTTGGTACTGTTTTGATGTAGATTTCTTTGCCAAAAAAGGAAATAAGGAAGTGTGAAGTTTATTTTAGACCGTCCCAAAAAAGAAAGTGTGAAGTTTATTAAAAACTGAAGGGAGTATAAATTTTTATTTGGGAAAAGGGGCAAAAGAGCCCTTGAACTTGTCACCAAAGGGTATCTATACCCTCCAACTTTTGTTTTGGGCAAAAAACTCTAAAATCCCTCAAAGGAGGGCAATTACCCCTCGTTTACGGAGGACTAATGACGGGCACTTTGTCACGGTGGGTCAAAATAAATTCAATACGAGCACTAATACGTAGTATAGTGAAGTAGAGTTCGTATCCACAGGGAAAGGAATAATTCTCTTTTTATGAACTAGTGAAAAGGGGGGGTTTTGGTATTGTTGGAATTTAATTAATTAAACACGAAGATGGACGACTTATATGTGATTTAATTCAAAGATAAAAGGGACTTGACATTGCTACTTTCCACTTGTTGATATATTTTAGTCGATCATTGTTATATCTATAACTCGTTCCCTCTCGAATACTCAATCGAGGAGTATATCCAATTCATCGAGGGTAGCTATTAACAACGACCGTTCATTAATAACCCTTACTATTAGTCAAGTATAGAACACCGTCATATACCGACTTGATAGTAGCATTTAATCTCTTAACTCCTTGATGAAATCAATTGAGATTGATAACCTCAACACAACGGTTTCGGTTTAACCAACAAAATTAATCCTTCTTAAGTTTATTAACCACGACCATGCATTAATAAACCGAAGTTACTTACTTGTGAAACCATCAACGATTAACCATCGGTTCGTTGATCGTTTCTTGTAATAATTAATATATGAAACAAAACTAATTGATCCTTTAAGTAATGTTCAAAATATTAATATGAAATATGAATAGGAATTAATTAATACTCAAGGAAGAATATTAAAGGAGATGAATCCTACTATAGTTAATATAAGATGTTAACTAATTGTCATCTTAGTAACACTCCCCATTATTAACATAGAGGAAAGAATAGCTATTACTAAGACCAATGTCAAGATGTTAACTAATTGTCATCTTAGTAACACTCCCCAACATTGATATAGAAATAGTATTTAAAGGAAGAATTAATATTCAAGGAAAGAAGTTAAGAAAATAACTCACAACTTTAATAATCAACAACCTTCAAGAGCAACACCAAGAAATGGAAGTTTAGCTCCTCATTTGGAGACTAACATACTAGATAAATATAAAGAAATGTTATTCTAAACTGAGCTCAATAGTATATAGGAATTTGTATCTAATTGTGAAGGGAAGGAGGTGTATTTATAGGCTTTTTGGGAGTGCAATTCGGGTACCCAATCGAGTACTGGTGTATACCCGATCGGGTATGTGTAAAAAGGGTAGTTTTGAGGCATACTCGATCGAATTCGGAGTGAAAATAAAAGGTATACCCGATCGGGTATATAGGTGTACCCGATCGAGTATTACAATTGATCGTGGCCAAATCTTCCCCTGCACACCCTTTTGTCTCTTGATTGATCTGATTGAAAGTCCAGTTGGTACCTGATCGAGTATATGGTATACTCGACCGGGTACAGGTCAAAAATCGGGATTTTGCCTCCTTTTTGTCTTGTACTCTTGCACCTTCCTTCACCAATGATCATTTGATTGATCTTGGACCTGTTTAAGCTCAGAATGATCCTAATCTAAATGAATTACAACTAAATTACAAACATAACTATTACTCCAAAAGTGTGTAATTTCCGAAATATTAAACAACCAAAACTAACTAAAAACGTAAACATACACACGGAAATTATACGCGTATCAACTCCCCCACAAATAGTTCTTTACTCGGCCTCGAGTAAAGTAAAAATGTTTCAAACAGTTTAAGATCTTCCCATGAGTTCAAGAAAGAAAGAACTAAGATCACCAAGAAATAAAAATGAGTATACAAACAACATTCTTTCTTGGGTTTTATGATCTTCTATGCTCCATCTTCTTGCCTCTTTTTTCTTCTTTTCTTCTTCCTCTTCTTCTCCTCTTTCTTCCAAGAGATCAAATGAGTTCCTGCACACAACAAATATTTCTCTCATATCTCTCTTTTTGCCTAGGAGCCTTTTCAGGTTTTCATCCTAGCATCTCTTTTTGTTTTTCCATCCTCCCTAACTCACTCATTTTTTTATAAGCCCGTTTTGCTTAGATTGCCCATTTTTGGGTTTTCAACCTAACTAGCATTTCCTTTTTTTTTTTTTTTGTGTTTACAAAGAGTAAAAGAAAATTCATGCATAGTAAAGGGAAAGAAATAAAATTACATACCATGAGGAGTCTCCCCCCTTCTCAGTCCAAGCATTGTCCCTAGTGCCCACCTTCGCCGCCATAGTAACCGCCACGAAAACCGCCTCCAAAGCCGCCTCCAAAGCTCCCGTCGCCTATGTGAGCATCTCCGTCGTCCCCGCCATCATAACCTCCACCCCCGGAGCTAGATCCTCCAAAGTTACCCCATTGAGTGGGGTCATACCAAGAGGGGGTGGGGGTGGTTGAGTCATAGTGTGGAAAGAGCCTTGATGAGCCATGTAAGAGTACATAGGTCCATAGAACCTACGTTGATCTTCTTCGTACCTTCGGTTGTCTTCGGCCCGTTGCTCCTCAAGTCTTTGAAATCCCGCCCTTTGTTCCTACCGATATCTTCCAACTTTATTGGTAACTTTGTTGAACCCATCAAGTAGTTGTTGGAAGTAATCGGGTGGGGGGGGGCTTGGTTCTGTTCGGGAATGTGGTGAAGTACAGCCTCGGGTTCATGTTGCTCGGCTTGAGGTTCTTGGTCGGGTTGGTTTTCGGGGGGTTTTGGGCTGGAGGTTCTTGTAGGTGTGGTGGGAGGAGGTGTGGGAACACGTAATGGGGCACATCTCTATTGTAATGGAGTTTGGGGAGGTCCGGGTTAGGCAAGGGGTAATGTCTCACCGGTTTTGGGTGTATGAGCCAATTGTATACATGTCGGGGTTGATCTTCACCATATACCGTGTGAGAAAAAGTAGCACACCCCGAGTTGCCTAACCAAGTAATATTCATTAGACAATAGTCGGGTATAGGAGAGTTATCCATATACCCAAACTTTGTCGCCAAGTGCATAATCACCCCACCCAAAACAATCGGGCCTTTAGCAAAGCATTCTTTCTTTAGATGTGACCACATTAAATTGCAAAGGTTAAAATCCACGGCGCGACGGAACAAAACCGTGGTCATCAAACACACGTCCCCCATCCTAGTGTGATGGTTGTTGGGGCGCCCAAGTATACAATTAGCCAAAAACTTTAAAAATATCCTTAGAATGGGATGATGAACATGGCTTATGTATAGTTGGGAGGAGCTAAAGTTCACCTCTACGGTCATTTTGGTCCAAAGTGCATGACCCATTACGGTGTTGTCCGAAATCTCTCTCTCGCAGGGGACGGGAATGTCAAAATGTTCGGCAAACTCAAGTTTCGTTATTGAATATTCTTGGTTAAGCAAACGAAACGAGAGTGTATCATCCCTAAGATCATCCTCGTTGCTCTCAAAACTAGCCGAACTTATGAACTCATAGATAATTCTTTCATTTGAGTTGTATTTCATATTGAAAATACGGTCCATATTCAACTCATGAAAAAAAAATTCTAGTGCTCTTAGGAATGCCTAAATCACGAAGAGCTTTATGGCAAAGAAAACGGGGTGGTTTGACTTGCCTTGAAATTGTGGCGAGGATTCGAGCCCGTTGTTCGGTATCGGTGAAGTGAAAGTCCTCGTAGCCCGGGATGGGTGCCATGGCGTTTGAGCTCTCTCCCCTATTCTTTCTTGGAGCCATTTTTGGTGTTTTTGAGCTTTGAAAATCAAAAATTTGAAATGGGGGTAGGGTTTGTGGATTTTTTGGAGATTTGGGGAAAAGAGGATTTGTGGGTATAGATATGTAGAGGAGAGTTAGGGGAGTATTTTGGTGGTGGAATGGGATGATTTGGTGGAGGAATGAGGGAGATATGGTAGAGAGAAGGTCCAAAAATGGAGTTTGGGGGGAGAGGGGTTCGAAGTTGGGAGAGTGTTTGGAGAAGATGAAGTGTTTTGAAGTGTGATTTGGGGTTAAATCGCAGGTATACCCGATCGAGTACCATGCTATACCCGATCGGGTATTGTTCTTTTGCCTCGTTTTGAGCCTGGTATTCGATCGGGTCTGGGAGGCAGGGGCATTGGGTAGTTGTTTTTCCAGTAATACCCGATCGAGTATTGAAGTGTACTCGATCGGGTCTCCGAGGCAGGGGTATTTTATCATTGTTTTTTCAGCCATACCCGACCGAGTAAGGGGTAATACCCGATCGGGTATGCTTCCTTTTGCACGTTTAGAGCATGGTACTCGATCGAGTGTTCGGGGCAGGTTTCTTTTGGTTTCGCCTCTCTGAAAATAGTCGACCGGGTATGTAATTGTACCCGATCGAGTATGCCTGTATCTTTGAAAATCTTGCTGATTCGATCGAGTATTGAACTCGGTTTCTCTTTTTTAACTTGTACTCGACCGGGTATGTAATTGTACCCGATCGAGTATGTCTCCAGCTGCACAAACCCTGCATTTTTTTTTTCTTCTCCAAAAACATGTGGTTAGTTCCCTCTCTCCTTTTTCTCTCAAATTCACACAAAAAGAAAATAAAATCTAACTACTTGACTTGGGTTGCCTCCCAAGAAGCGCCTTATTTAACGTCGTGGCACGACGTTTTATTTATTTATTTATTTATTATGTGGGATCGTGAACATCCCTTCCTTCATTTCTTCTCTTCGGCCTTTTCCAGTAAGGCTGAGGTTTCCTTTTCGTTGTCGCCTCAATTACAGGTGGTTCCAACTTGTATTGAGGCGATTCTTCTTGCAAAATAGATTTTTCCTTAGCCCCCTTTCTCAATAAAAATATTTTGTGCTTGTTGTTCAAAAACATTTAGAGAACAAAGGGATTGTTCTTTAATTCGTTTTTTAGTAGAATCAAAGATGTTGAATTCTACTTTTTGGTCATCGAACTCTAAAGTTAATGAACCATTAGACACGTCTATCTTTGTTTGGGCCGTTTTTAAGAAAGGTCTTCCCAAAAGGATGGGTGTAGCTTGGTTATCGGTTTCCATTTCGAGAATATAGAAATCAACAGGGAAGACCAAATTTTCAACCTTTACTAGCACGTCCTCTACGACACCCTTTGGGTACGTGCTAGATCTATCCGCCAATTGGATTACTACCCCAGTATCATGCATAGGGCCTAGGTTTAGGGACTTGTATAATGAATATGGAATAACATTGATCGAAGCCCCTAAATCCAACAAGGCTCTAGGAAATAAAGTGTCCCCTATTTTACATGGGATAGTGAACATGCCTGGATCATTGCATTTTTCCGGGAGTTTCCTTTGAAAAATTGCTGAGACATGTTCACTAACCTTGACCTCTTGTTTTGCCTTCAATTTATCTTTTCTTTTCATTGTACATAGTTCTTTTAAAAACTTTGCATAACGGGGGACACTTTTGATTAGTTTAAAGAGTGGGATATTTACCTCACAATTTGCGAAGGTCTCATAGATGTCTCGATCATTCTCTAGCTTTCTTGTGTCCTTCAACGCCTCAGGGAATGGAGGGAGTGGCTCATATGATGACAGCGGAGGGAATTTTGTCTTTGTTGGCTCCTCCTCCTTGTGGTCAACCTCATTTTTGTCAACATTTTCTTCTTCAACTTGCTTTGCTTGCAATTCTGGACCACTCCTTAACATGATGGCATTGACTTGTTGTCCTGGGTTTTGCTCCGTTTGGGAAGGGAGCCTACCCGAATCTTTTGCTTCAAGTCGATTCACAGCATTCGAAATTTGGCTAACTTGAGTTTCCAAATTTTGAATGCTTGACTTTGTTTCTTGTTGAAATTGCAACACGTTTTGTTGCAAGGTGCCCATGCTTGTAGCAAGAGTTCGAATCATGTCCTCCGTAGACATACTAGATTGAGAAGATGGGTTGGATTGCGGAGGGTTTCCATACCTCAAGTTTGGATGATCCCTCAATCCGGGGTTGTAAGAATTTGAGAATGGGTCGTACCTCCTTTGTTGATGTCCTTGGAAACCCAAGGCGTTGACTTGCTCTGTAGTGTCCTCTTGAAGAGTTGGGCATGAGTCCGTGGGATGCCCTTGTTGTGTACAAATGCCGCAGACCTTGACTTCTTGGGTCTTGGACTTTAAAAGGAAATCCTTAACCAAATAAGTCAAGCCGGCAACTTGACTCTCCAATGATGATGTTGATTCCGCAGCGGCAACTCTACGAGTTGAGGACCGCCCGTTATAGTGTCTAGAGTTCTCGACCAACTCCGAGATGAGATCTCTTGCTTGCGAAGGAGTTTTGTTCACAATGCCCCCTCCGCACGCTGCATTCACCATGCGGCGATCTTGATCCACAAGACCATCATAAAAGTAGAGAATGAGGTCTTGTTCGGTGTATCCGTGATAGGGGCAACTAGCACATAGCTTCTTGAATCTCTCCCAATATTCATATAGAGATTCATCATCTTTTTGTTCAATGTTGCTTATTTGCTTCTTGAGAGATGATGAAATAGAAGCGGGGTAGTACCTTTCAAGGAAAGCCTTCTTCATTTGTGGCCATGTAGTGATACTTCCCGAAGGAAGATAGAAAAGCCAATCCTTCGCGGTGTCTTTCAGAGAAAATGGAAAAGCTCTCAGTTTGCTTTGCTCTTCCGAGACACCGTTGGGGCACTTGCTTGTGCACACAATATGGAATTCCGACAAGTGTTTGTTCGGATCCTCCCCTCGTAAACCATGGAATGATGGGAGTAGATGAATGAGCCCAGATTTAAGCTCGAATGTGACCCCCGTATCAAGAGTTGGAAAAGTGATACATAGGGGTTGTTGATTAAGATTCGGAGCTGTGAGCTCCCTCAACGTTCTCGTTTCGTTGGCCATAGATATTGGCTCTTCGATCGGTCTTGCTAGATTGAGAACTAGCACTTGATGATCCTCCCGAGTCGGAGTTTGAGAATTTGTTTTTCAACCGCTCGAGAGTGTTCTATTTCGGGGTTTGAGTGGTAGGTGATTTCGTTCAGTGAACGATATTTAACCATATACTACAAAGCTCAGAAGAAATAGAAATGTAACACCGGACCCGAATTTTACTGTGAGAATTTTTTTTTCATCAAGTACTGGGTTAAAGAAGGTAAATCAAGGCTAAGAGTAGTCTTGATAAATGAGAAAGTAAAATTTTTGTCTTAAATTAATAAAGGATTATTAATTTAGATGTGGGGACCACTCATGACATTTCGAGTTTATAAAATATTAATGTTTATCAAAATGATACTATTATGATAGTATGGATGGTTCCTGGGCCCCGGTAATATAAAGAATGACAACTAGACGGCCAAGCGGGCCGGTGTCACTATTCGATAATTGTGAGTCCTTAATTATCGGACTGATAATAATTCGGAAGGCTACAAATTAATAACAGAAGGAATATAAATATTTTAAGAACCCAAAACATGGGATGATGGATAATAATGAGCAACTTGACATGTTAGAGGTGGGTACTTTTGGAGGACCCTACCTTGGAGATATTTTGTATAAGAATAAACAGATAAGGTTTTATCTGTTCATACAGTTCGGACCACTTAAAAATAAGTGTAACATTTTATTAAAGTGTCACCAGATATGAAACCACATATTAAGTAATGAGAAATGACGAGTGAATTTTCGAGGCAACGCGTTCTCATTTTTACTGTTACTTCAACAGTAAAATACACGTTGGGCCCACACGTGGGCGGCGACCATCCGATATTTACGGACCACATATTATATTCATCTTGGTTTAGATAATATTTATATGATGGTGTAAATTAATGTTGAGCCATAAAGTTGGCCTTTCAATCAAACAAGGTCCCATTATCGGTATAGTTAATTAATCAGATAACAGTCCGAAATAAATTCTGGGGACCACTAAATTGAAGTTGGGTAATATATATTCATTTTAGAGTCCAATATTAATTGGAAGAATGACATATATTTTACTTGACCCGATAAAATAAAATTTAATTAAAACAGTCCGGAAAATACAACTTTCGGGACCGAAAATACACTTTTGGACATAAAGGGATGACCTCCCACGTGAGTGGGGGCCACCCCACAAAATAATATCAACCAAGTCGGCTGATTGAGGGAGAGGGAGCTGTAGAGGTACATGCATGAAGGGATTGGGGGACAAAGAAATAAAGGAAAAGGGACCCCCCATATGATTTTGAGTGATATGTCCAAAATGACTTCCTTCACTCATTTTCCTACCATAACTCCGACCCAAGGCATCCAAGGAAGAGAGAGGAGGTCTGAAACTTTCCATTTCCATAGCCATAATCAAGCTCAAGCCATAAGGAGGTCCAAGGAAGAAGAAAGAGTTAGAAAAGAAGAGAAAAACCTTGATTAATTAAGGTAATAATCTCATTAACATTTTTCATCCTCCATTTAATCTCATATGATTTTATAAATCATATGATGGACCCTTAAACTTGTTCTACACTTATAGAGGTGTATAATGAGGGTTTGGAGGGTTAAGTTTAACCATAAACGGAGTTATGACCGGAGTAAGACCGGTTCACCGGAAAACACCTTCTTGGAAGGTTTTGATGTTTATACCACTTTTGGTTGTGAAACCTTGTTAGGAATTTTACCAAGGTATTCTGGACTTCTCAAGGAACCTAGGAGTGGCCGGAAAGTCGCCGGAGCCGCCGGAGGTTTCGCCGGAAAATTCAAAGGTCGTCGGAGTTCAAACAAAGGGGATAAAAACTCGCTAGCGTCATTTCAAGGTGAGTGGACGACTACGTGTCTTGTAACTCTTGGTTCAAACGTGGGATTACCTAAATAAAATCATAACCATGATTTGAGAAATGATGAAATGGATTAAAATGCATGATTAGTCATGGTGTATATGACTAATGAAAAAAAAAAGATTAATTTATTAATTAATCATTAGTACGTAGTATATATTTCTTAATGCATAAGAGGATATACTTGAACCATGTATGAGATAAGCTCGAATAATCTAGTAAGTGAATATAAAAGGGTTGTAAAGTTGTGATTATCCATATTAAATATGGATTATGGAAGTGTTATATGATAAATAAAAAAAATAGATTAATTTATTAATTAATCATGAGTATATTTTTCTTAAATGAATAAGAAGGTATACTTGAACCGTGTATGTGATTAACTAGAGTTATCTAGTAAAGAAATATAAAAAGATATGTGATATGTGATTAGTCATATTAATTATGGATTATGGAAATATGGCATAATTAATGATTAATCAATTAATGGTATGAATAAAAGGTTGTAAGAAAGGATCATGAGCCATGATTTGGGCTTGGGCATGAGATTACTCAAATAAAACAGAATGATATCCCATGAAATGTTAAATACATCTAAGAATGTATTAAGGAAAGATTTACTTATTAATAGTATTAATAAGTGTATTTAATATGCTTTAATTTGGACAGAAAATGATTATAAATTATGTGTGATGATTTGGACGTCCAAAATAATATTTTTGGACTAAGAATGACTTGTTGCATAAGCGTATAAAATTTCGTGGAAATCGGACCCCGTTTGGATGGTCAAACGGGCGTTGACCAAAATGTTGACCGGTTGCCCAGGGGGTAACCGGCGCCGGTTATAGGCAAAACCGGCGCCGGTTATGGTTCGGTTTACTCAATAAAATTAGTAAACCGGCGCCGGTTATGGGTAAAACCGGCGCCGGTTATGTCTCGGCTTTCAGGACTGATTTTTGCTAAAAACCCAAATCGGACCCGGTTCGACGTGGGATTAATTCTGGTCATCCTATATATGAATATTTTGCATGGAATTGCATGAAATATGATGTTTAAAATGATAAGGCTTGGAATACGGTTTAAACGCTAAGACTTGGACTAGTCATTAGTAAAGAAATTATAGACCACGACCGGGCGAGGCACGTGGTAGATTATAAATGGCGGGTGAATACCCGGGACCAAGTAAGGTTATATAATACTCTGTAGGACCAGGAGGAGTCCTCTACACTCAAACGTTAACAAGGGCCCGTGCAGTCCTTGAGGTGTGTTTAACCTCCATCGAATTGCATATAGGTAACAAGGGCAAATGCAGTCCTTGAGGTGTGTTTAACCTCCATCAAATTGCATATAGGTAACAAGGGCAAGTGCAGTCCTTGAGGTGTGTTTAACCTCCATCAAATTGCATACAGGTAACAAGGGCAAGTGCAGTCCTTGAGGTGTGTTTAACCTCCATCAAATTGCACATAGGTAACAAGGGCAAGTGCAGTCCTTGAGGTGTGTTTAACCTCCATCAAATTGCATATAGGTAACAAGGGCAAGTGCAGTCCTTGAGGTGTGTTTAACCTCCATCAAATTGCATATAGGTAACAAGGGCAAATGCAGTCCTTGAGGTGTGTTAACCTCCATCAAAGTGCATATAGGTAACAAGGGCCCGTGTAGTCCTTGAGGTGTGTTAACCTCCAGTAAATTACACATAGGATGAGGGTGTATGCGTACTCCTCGAGGCGGGGTTAACCCGGAAATGAAAACTATGATAGCAAGGACGGATAGTCCTCGAGGCAGGTGAACCTCGAAGTAATGATTTTAAATGATTAAATGTGCTTGATCGGGAACGAGTTCCCGATATAATATTTTCCTTGGCCTAGGGATTGATTTAAACCATGTATGGGATATGGGAGTCCGAAGGGCCCCACAGTAATTATATTTTAGTATCGAGTGAGTTAGCCTGCGGGTGACTCCACTCGAGGGTAAGGCATGGGAAGGATGAATTTAATGAGGCGGTTACGCCTAAATGATTTGAAAGACAAATGGGCCCACGGGCCAGATATTTTACTCATATGTATATATGTATACATTTTGTTTTGAAAAGGGGTAGCTAAGAGTTATGCCCATATTGTACTATCACCCTATTTTGAGGGTCTCACGTGAGAAACGTTAGTTACATTACATACAGTTTGCCCTCACCAGTACTTTTCTGTAGTACTGATCCCTCGGGGGAACCACCCTTTCAGGTTGAAGCTAGAGCTTACTTCCTGCACCCGTTGCTCGGGAGATCAATGGAGAGAAGACGTGGTTCGTGCTTCCTCCGGTTCTATTTCTAAATAATTAAATAATGCTCATGGGACTATTTTGACTTATAAATTAATGGAGCCTGCGAGCCCTTGTTTTACCCTTGTGTGGGTTCTTATTAAACACTTATATTCCGCTATGTGTTTGATTGTATGTTGATGTTGTTATGTATGTTTACTAATCGGTTTTGGCATATGTATCTATCGAACGTCTTGTGCAATTCGGTAAGAATGAACTGCGGTTATTCTTATTGGATTGTACGACGGTTGTCCACGTGGCACAGACGCGGTCTGGGGCGTGACAATTAAGTGGTATCAGAGCCAAACGGTTTCTAAACTATATAGTCAACCTCTCAACAGAGTTTCTATCAAAATAGTTTTCAATGAAAAACCATGAGCATAAGTTTTGTACTTTAAGAGCATTTGGTTATCGAGTTGCAAGGTCTCTGGTTGTTAAGATGGGCCCCTTAACAATTGGTATGGCAGTGACTTGAGCCAAGTTGTGTCTTGAGTACGTTTCTGTCAATCGACATTCAAACGAGTCCAAAGACTCATTCCAACATATTCTTTCAGGAATGGGTGGTAGCGATAGGGCAGTTCGAGGAAATCCGAGAGGGCGCGCACCGGGGATAGCCGGGCAAGCCAATCGGGGGATATCAAGGTCGCGTAGAAGGCGAGGTATGGGCAATCAAGGCCCACGAACACGAGCCGCGATGGCGGATCACAATGTGACTGAATTCGAGTCGTGGAACTCGGAGGATGACTCAACTTATCACCCTGAAAGCGAGTCAGGTGAAACTTCTTTTGAGGAAAACAAGGAAGAGGACATACATAGTATTCCTCCTGACCAGGTTAGTGAGATGTACCGATGGTACCAACTTGAAAGGGGAAGACAACGACAGGGATCTCGGGAGGGACATGTCAGAGGCGAGACCTCTCTCAGGAGGGGTCGGGGTGCTCATAGAGCACAGGCTAGAACAGTCATAAATTCTGATGGCGAAGCACCATTCTTTAAGATCTCAAAGTACCTCAAAGAGGCTAGAGCCTTGGGGTGCAAACCATTTGATGGGACAGAGGACATATCGGAAGCAGCCGAGTGGATAAAAAGGTTAAATGATGCGGCTGATGACATGCAAGTGGTCCCGGAACGAAAGTTAAGGGTAGCCACTAGATTATTGGAGGGTTTAGCTTCTACTTGGTGGGAAGGCACCAAGGGTAAGTTTGACGGGGTTGTCACGTGGGACAACTTCGAGCAAGCATTCTATGAGCAGTTTTACACCTCTTTCGAAGTAAATCGAAAGAGGAGGGAATATATCGATCTCAAACAGGGAAATGAGTTTACGGTGAAGCAACTGGAACAAAGATTCCGACATCTGGCAAGGTTCTTGCCTGAGTATGCCGCAAATGAGAACCGAATGGCAAACCATTTTTGGAATGCACTCAATTTGGAAATACGCGAAAGAGCGACCTACCAATTCAACATGACTTTTAGTCAAGTAGTAGCCCAGGGTCTCCAGGGGGAGGAGCTTTGGAAGGAAAGGCAAGCAAGGGATGCAAAGGAAGCACAAGAAAGAGATCAGGCGATCATTCACCCTCCACGACGAGAGGGGAAGTATGAACTTCAGAGCAAGGGGAACTCTAACAAGTCAGTTCCGTTTTTCAGTGAGAGCCAGGACTTGGTAAGTCAAAGCTCAAGCACTCGAGGCACGGGGGCACCCAAATGCGAGAATTGTAGGCGAAGGCATTACGGGAGATGTCGAGAGCCATCTAGATGTTACTTTTGTGGAGAAACAGGCCACATCAAGGTCCTTTGTCCTCAACGTACGTGTGAAGGAACATCAGGAGCTAGAAGAGGGGTCACGGGGGTTGAAAACCCAACTAGGGTTGCCTCAAACATGGTACCTTCTACAAGTCAATGGCGAGCTCGCTCGTAAAGGCCGGGAATGGCGGAAGCCATTTGTTAGGCCCGACTATGGCACAAGGTATTATTAAATTAAACCTTAATTTCCATAAATATTTTTATTTTCAAAATTGTTAGCTTCAGATAATGAAGGGAGAAATGTTTCTCAAAGTTCAAACGTTAATTTCGGGGACGAAATTCCTGTAAGGTGGGGTGAACTTGTAACACCGGACCCGAATTTTACTGTGAGAATTTTTTTTCATCAAGTACTGGGTTAAAGAAGGTAAATCAAGGCTAAGAGTAGTCTTGATAAATGAGAAAGTAAAATTTTTGTCTTAAATTAATAAAGGATTATTAATTTAGATGTGGGGACCACTCATGACATTTCGAGTTTATAAAATATTAATGTTTATCAAAATGATACTATTATGATAGTATGGATGGTTCCTGGGCCCCGGTAATATAAAGAATGACAACTAGACGGCCAAGCGGGCCGGTGTCACTATTCGATAATTGTGAGTCCTTAATTATCGGACTGATAATAATTCGGAAGGCTACAAATTAATAACAGAAGGAATATAAATATTTTAAGAACCCAAAACATGGGATGATGGATAATAATGAGCAACTTGACATGTTAGAGGTGGGTACTTTTGGAGGACCCTACCTTGGAGATATTTTGTATAAGAATAAACAGATAAGGTTTTATCTGTTCATACAGTTCGGACCACTTAAAAATAAGTGTAACATTTTATTAAAGTGTCACCAGATATGAAACCACATATTAAGTAATGAGAAATGACGAGTGAATTTTCGAGGCAACGCGTTCTCATTTTTACTGTTACTTCAACAGTAAAATACACGTTGGGCCCACACGTGGGCGGCGACCATCCGATATTTACGGACCACATATTATATTCATCTTGGTTTAGATAATATTTATATGATGGTGTAAATTAATGTTGAGCCATAAAGTTGGCCTTTCAATCAAACAAGGTCCCATTATCGGTATAGTTAATTAATCAGATAACAGTCCGAAATAAATTCTGGGGACCACTAAATTGAAGTTGGGTAATATATATTCATTTTAGAGTCCAATATTAATTGGAAGAATGACATATATTTTACTTGACCCGATAAAATAAAATTTAATTAAAACAGTCCGGAAAATACAACTTTCGGGACCGAAAATACACTTTTGGACATAAAGGGATGACCTCCCACGTGAGTGGGGGCCACCCCACAAAATAATATCAACCAAGTCGGCTGATTGAGGGAGAGGGAGCTGTAGAGGTACATGCATGAAGGGATTGGGGGACAAAGAAATAAAGGAAAAGGGACCCCCCATATGATTTTGAGTGATATGTCCAAAATGACTTCCTTCACTCATTTTCCTACCATAACTCCGACCCAAGGCATCCAAGGAAGAGAGAGGAGGTCTGAAACTTTCCATTTCCATAGCCATAATCAAGCTCAAGCCATAAGGAGGTCCAAGGAAGAAGAAAGAGTTAGAAAAGAAGAGAAAAACCTTGATTAATTAAGGTAATAATCTCATTAACATTTTTCATCCTCCATTTAATCTCATATGATTTTATAAATCATATGATGGACCCTTAAACTTGTTCTACACTTATAGAGGTGTATAATGAGGGTTTGGAGGGTTAAGTTTAACCATAAACGGAGTTATGACCGGAGTAAGACCGGTTCACCGGAAAACACCTTCTTGGAAGGTTTTGATGTTTATACCACTTTTGGTTGTGAAACCTTGTTAGGAATTTTACCAAGGTATTCTGGACTTCTCAAGGAACCTAGGAGTGGCCGGAAAGTCGCCGGAGCCGCCGGAGGTTTCGCCGGAAAATTCAAAGGTCGTCGGAGTTCAAACAAAGGGGATAAAAACTCGCTAGCGTCATTTCAAGGTGAGTGGACGACTACGTGTCTTGTAACTCTTGGTTCAAACGTGGGATTACCTAAATAAAATCATAACCATGATTTGAGAAATGATGAAATGGATTAAAATGCATGATTAGTCATGGTGTATATGACTAATGAAAAAAAAAAGATTAATTTATTAATTAATCATTAGTACGTAGTATATATTTCTTAATGCATAAGAGGATATACTTGAACCATGTATGAGATAAGCTCGAATAATCTAGTAAGTGAATATAAAAGGGTTGTAAAGTTGTGATTATCCATATTAAATATGGATTATGGAAGTGTTATATGATAAATAAAAAAAATAGATTAATTTATTAATTAATCATGAGTATATTTTTCTTAAATGAATAAGAAGGTATACTTGAACCGTGTATGTGATTAACTAGAGTTATCTAGTAAAGAAATATAAAAAGATATGTGATATGTGATTAGTCATATTAATTATGGATTATGGAAATATGGCATAATTAATGATTAATCAATTAATGGTATGAATAAAAGGTTGTAAGAAAGGATCATGAGCCATGATTTGGGCTTGGGCATGAGATTACTCAAATAAAACAGAATGATATCCCATGAAATGTTAAATACATCTAAGAATGTATTAAGGAAAGATTTACTTATTAATAGTATTAATAAGTGTATTTAATATGCTTTAATTTGGACAGAAAATGATTATAAATTATGTGTGATGATTTGGACGTCCAAAATAATATTTTTGGACTAAGAATGACTTGTTGCATAAGCGTATAAAATTTCGTGGAAATCGGACCCCGTTTGGATGGTCAAACGGGCGTTGACCAAAATGTTGACCGGTTGCCCAGGGGGTAACCGGCGCCGGTTATAGGCAAAACCGGCGCCGGTTATGGTTCGGTTTACTCAATAAAATTAGTAAACCGGCGCCGGTTATGGGTAAAACCGGCGCCGGTTATGTCTCGGCTTTCAGGACTGATTTTTGCTAAAAACCCAAATCGGACCCGGTTCGACGTGGGATTAATTCTGGTCATCCTATATATGAATATTTTGCATGGAATTGCATGAAATATGATGTTTAAAATGATAAGGCTTGGAATACGGTTTAAACGCTAAGACTTGGACTAGTCATTAGTAAAGAAATTATAGACCACGACCGGGCGAGGCACGTGGTAGATTATAAATGGCGGGTGAATACCCGGGACCAAGTAAGGTTATATAATACTCTGTAGGACCAGGAGGAGTCCTCTACACTCAAACGTTAACAAGGGCCCGTGCAGTCCTTGAGGTGTGTTTAACCTCCATCGAATTGCATATAGGTAACAAGGGCAAATGCAGTCCTTGAGGTGTGTTTAACCTCCATCAAATTGCATATAGGTAACAAGGGCAAGTGCAGTCCTTGAGGTGTGTTTAACCTCCATCAAATTGCATACAGGTAACAAGGGCAAGTGCAGTCCTTGAGGTGTGTTTAACCTCCATCAAATTGCACATAGGTAACAAGGGCAAGTGCAGTCCTTGAGGTGTGTTTAACCTCCATCAAATTGCATATAGGTAACAAGGGCAAGTGCAGTCCTTGAGGTGTGTTTAACCTCCATCAAATTGCATATAGGTAACAAGGGCAAATGCAGTCCTTGAGGTGTGTTAACCTCCATCAAAGTGCATATAGGTAACAAGGGCCCGTGTAGTCCTTGAGGTGTGTTAACCTCCAGTAAATTACACATAGGATGAGGGTGTATGCGTACTCCTCGAGGCGGGGTTAACCCGGAAATGAAAACTATGATAGCAAGGACGGATAGTCCTCGAGGCAGGTGAACCTCGAAGTAATGATTTTAAATGATTAAATGTGCTTGATCGGGAACGAGTTCCCGATATAATATTTTCCTTGGCCTAGGGATTGATTTAAACCATGTCTGGGATATGGGAGTCCGAAGGGCCCCACAGTAATTATATTTTAGTATCGAGTGAGTTAGCCTGCGGGTGACTCCACTCGAGGGTAAGGCATGGGAAGGATGAATTTAATGAGGCGGTTACGCCTAAATGATTTGAAAGACAAATGGGCCCACGGGCCAGATATTTTACTCATATGTATATATGTATACATTTTGTTTTGAAAAGGGGTAGCTAAGAGTTATGCCCATATTGTACTATCACCCTATTTTGAGGGTCTCACGTGAGAAACGTTAGTTACATTACATACAGTTTGCCCTCACCAGTACTTTTCTGTAGTACTGATCCCTCGGGGGAACCACCCTTTCAGGTTGAAGCTAGAGCTTACTTCCTGCACCCGTTGCTCGGGAGATCAATGGAGAGAAGACGTGGTTCGTGCTTCCTCCGGTTCTATTTCTAAATAATTAAATAATGCTCATGGGACTATTTTGACTTATAAATTAATGGAGCCTGCGAGCCCTTGTTTTACCCTTGTGTGGGTTCTTATTAAACACTTATATTCCGCTATGTGTTTGATTGTATGTTGATGTTGTTATGTATGTTTACTAATCGGTTTTGGCATATGTATCTATCGAACGTCTTGTGCAATTCGGTAAGAATGAACTGCGGTTATTCTTATTGGATTGTACGACGGTTGTCCACGTGGCACAGACGCGGTCTGGGGCGTGACAAGAAATCTTTATACTTGAACCATATATTTTTTTTCTTTTTCTTAAAATAAAATAAAAAGAAAAATTAATTGCCTTTCCCCGGCAACGGCGCCAAATTTGACGGGCACTTTGTCATGGTGCATCAAAATAAATTCAATACTAGCACTAATATGTACTATAGTGAAATAGAGTTCGTATCCACAGGGAAAGGAATAATTCTCTTTTTATGAACTAGTGAAAAAGGGGGGTTTTGGTATTGTTGGAATTTAATTAATTAAACACGAAGATGAACGACTTATATGGGATTTAATTCAAAGATAAAAGGGACTTGGCATTGCTACTTTCCACTTGTTGATATATTTTAGTCGATCATTGTTATATCTATAACTCGTTCCCTCTCGAATACTCAATCGAGGAGTATATCCAATTCATCGAGGGTAGCTATTAACAACGACCGTTCATTAATAACCCTTACTATTAGTCAAGTATAGAACACCGCCATATACCGACTTGATAGTAGCATTTAATCTCTTAACTCCTTGATGAAATCAATTGAGATTGATAACCTCAACACAACGGTTTCGGTTTAACCAACAAAATTAATCCCTCTTAAGTTTATTAACCACGACCGTGCATTAATAAACCGAAGTTACTTACTTGTGAAACCATCAACGATTAACCATCGGTTCGTTGATCGTTTCTAGTAATAATTAATATATGAAACAAAACTAATTGATCCTTTAAGTAATGTTCAAAATATTAATATGAAATATGAATAGGAATTAATTAATACTCAAGGAAGAATATTAAAGGAGATGAATCCTACTATAGTTAAAATCAAGATGTTAACTAATTGTCATCTTAGTAACACTCCCCATTATTAACATAGAGGAAAGAATAGCTATTACTAAGACCAATGTCAAGATGTTAACTAATTGTCATCTCAGTAACACTCCCCAACATTGATATAGAAATAGTATTTAAAGGAAGAATTAATATTCAAGGAAAGAAGTTAAGAAAATAACTCACAACTTTAATAATCAACAAGCTTCAAGAGCAACACCAAGAAATGGAAGTTTAGCTCCTCATTTGGAGACTAAACATACTAGATAAATATAAAGAAATGTTATTCTAAACTGAGCTTAAGAGTATATAGGAATTGGTATCTAATTGTGAAGGGAAGGATGTGTATTTATAGGCTTTTTGGGAGTGCAGTTCGGGTACCCGATCGAGTACTGGTGTATACCCGATCGGGTATGTGTAAAAAGGGTAGTTTTGAGGCATACTCGATCGAATTCGAAGTGAAAATAAAAGGTATACCCGATCGGGTATATAGGTGTACCCGATCGGGTATATAGGTGTACCCGATCGGGTATTACAATTGATCGTGGCCAAATCTTCCCCTGCACACCCTTTTGTCTCCTGATTGATCTGATTGAAAGTCCAGTTGGTACCCGATCGAGTATATGGTATACTCGACCGGGTACAGGTCAAAAATCAGGATTTTGCCTCCTTTTTGTCTTGTACTCTTGCACCTTCCTTCACCAATGATCATTTGATTGATCTTGGACCTGTTTAAGCTCAGAATGATCCTAATCTAAATGAATTACAACTAAATTACAAACATAACTATTACACCAAAAGTGAGTAATTTCCGAAATATTAAACAACCAAAACTAACTAAAAACGTAAACATACACACGGAAATTATACGCGTATCAACTAACGTAACAGAGTTAGCCACTATTTTTTTCGGATGATAGCCACTCTTAAGAATGCTCCTTTGAGTTTTCAACGTAATAAAATATACTCTTAAGATACTATTTTCCTAATAAAAATGAAATAAAATAATTTTCATGTACAAGTACCTAATTAAAATGTTGCGCATGAAAGAGGAAAATGAGGAACATTTTTTTTTACTTCAGGGGCGTCTGGGGGAGGGGGCCCTGGAGTAATCAGAGTTGAAACTTACTTCATTGAGTTTCGAACCCGAGAGCTCATGAAAGGGAAAGGGAGTTGGCGATCAACTAGCTAGGCATGACCGCTTCCTCAAATGATTAAGATGCTACTCTTTTTGTATAATCATTATTTCATTACTTAGTCACTTTTTATGGTTTACTGGTATTTTTAATCATTTTATTTATATTTTACATAGAAAACGAAATAAGTACACATATACGATTAAAATAAAGATTGTTTATATAAAAGTGACTAGTGATTAGAGTAGTAAGGAATCATAATAATTTATGTTCAATTTTTAAACGTAAGTTACTATAACACTACATTGTAATAACTACTCCTTGCGTCCTCCCACTAAGATTGGGACAATTCGGTTTAAGATGTTTGACCGACAATAAAGCAAACAGATCCATGTCCGCCCTCAAATTATTATTATTATTATCATCAAAACAAGCCTCTATTCATATCAAAAGATTCAGGATCATTACATCAAGCAAAGGGAAAATAAAACTGACACCAACTAAAACTCCAACAACTACGACTGTAACCCTATGATGAGACTTTGAGACGGTCAACCCTGAAAGAATAACATGAATCGCTAACCATGTAATGGGCTTGACACAACCAAACCTGTTCCCATAGATCCAACCATATCCAATGACATAAAAAGATGCTAAAAACTCAAACAAATTGTCAAAACAAACAACAAAGATGAACACAAGAAAACAAATGACAAACAGATAAAAATTACTAGGAAAACTTTCACGGACTCTAGCACCTCGTACAACCCATGGTGGTGGTTCAGGCGGAGGTCGGACCGTCGCTCGATTGATACCCTCTTTCAGTGGCGTACCCGCCGTAAGACCCAAATCAATGCCATCAAATGGAGCGTTCAGCCTCTCCACACTAACCATGTCCCGATCATCTCTACGTCTCTCTCTCTCGCTTCTTCCACCATCTTCTCGCTGCCACGATCATCCATCCCGAGTTACGTCCAAACCACGGCAATCCGGCGCAGAGCTGCGTCGATTGAAAGAAAAACGTCGCACTAGGGCGGTGAAGAAAAACCCTACGCGAGAGATCTCGCTAGGGAAACACTGACCGATCTTCGATCAAGAAAGATCGAAATCGGAATTACCTAGCGGCGGCTTTGCCCTCCGCTCTCAAATTATTTTTAGAAAAAAAATTACATATTTAGAAACTATATTAAAAGCTTTACAAAGTTGCAAAAACCTGAATCAAATTTGATAAAAATTTGATATATGAAGTAAGAGATTAAGAGTGATTTGTGTTGATCAAATGAATAGTGTCTGAGACAATCTTAATAGGACGGGGGAGTATTACTTATATTTGTATGAAAAAAATTTATTTTAATAATATTTTTCAAAAAAAAAACCTTTTATATATTTTAACTAATTTACAAAATTAGTTAACAAATAAAATTAAAATATATTTTGTTGACTATTCAAATGAATTATAACGGTTCCAAAAAAAATGAACAAGTATCGTTAAACAAGGTAGTTGCCCTCCTTTGAGGAATTTTAAAGATTTTTGTCCCAAAAAAAACTTTAGGGCATAACCACTCTTTTATGACAACTTTAGGGGCGTTTTTGCCCCTTTTCCCTAAATATAAATATTACACTCTTTGTTTTAAATTCTTGTAAAATATTTTATTGTTTTAAATTCTTGTAAAATATTTTATTGTTTTAAATTCTTGTAAAATATTTTATTGTTTTTTATCTTTATAATATGCATTATTTTATTTTTAGTCAGTCTCTAATTCTGAAACCACTTAACTTACAAAAAATGTTACTGTGAGTTACGTATACCTACTAGAATAATTTAAATTTGTCCTTTTATAATTGTTTTCAGTCTAATATGAAAGTTACAATGTAAAAGTAAGTATTTACATTTTATAAATATATATTAAAAACCTTCTAAAAAATAAAATTAAATACTTATAATACTTTTTAATAACATGATAAAGAATTAGCACGAATCTATTAGTTCTGCTTATTTTGAGGTCAAACAGAGATTGTTATCACCGATCGTGGACTAAAAAAAAACCAACATAAATTATAGGAACGAAAAACAAAAATAAACAAATTTGGAGGTATGTAAAACAAAATGTACTATATTTATAAAGACTATATTTAAACCATTCCAATATTTTGATTAATTTACATCTCTTGATTTGCTTGTTTAGCTAATTTTCCCTTTTAAAACATTCTTTGTTGAAAATCATCTCATAAAATCACATATTTCGCAAGTATATATTCATAAAAATTATTGTCTAAGTTTGCCATTGACTTTTTTTGAATGAAAATCACCAAATTATATTAATTCAAACAATAGTTCGTAGTTACAATCAACCAACACATTAAAACTCCACCATCTATCTCCCAAAAAATTCTATCTACACGAACTACAAGCCCTACAATCAGACATTGAGATGTACATCTCCAAAGAAGCAATGTGAATAGTTGACCACCAAATGGGCAAATAGAGTTCTTATAGAGCCTTGAGGTCACAATACTCTTCATTTCACTATACTCATAATAAACGAAAAGTTCACTCACTCCCTAATTAGACATAGAAAAGTTGACCCAAACATGAGCGAAACTTTTCACTGAACATACGAGAGCTTTAAGGTATATAATGGCCCTATACATCCCAATACTGCCACTAACACAATCAAACAAAAAATAAGGTAACATATCTGGTGAAAGAAAAATAAAGCTTAAATTAAAAATAAAAATTGAGCAAGAAATTGCAGTTTTCCAAACTCTAGCCGCTCGTTCACTCCATTGTGGTGGTTCAGGAGGGGGGCGGACCATCAGCACATCACCTTTTTCCTCCAAGTCCAGACGATTGTAAGCTTATTGAAAATCATCAAACTCGGCCAATTTCTTATTCATCTCCTTCTCAGATTGAATCCTATTGATGAATTCG